AGACCACCAAGTCCACATCTTAGAGCAGAGCTTGGAGGAGAAGCTTGCCACACACTTGGTCTACACGGAGACTAAGTTTAATAGGCTCGAGAGAAGGATGGCGGAGCTCTACGAGCTGATTGATGGCATCGCCAACAAGGCGCAAGAGAAAGAAAGGGACTTGCATGATCGGGTAGACGACTTGCGCATGGAGATTGCCGAGTGCAAGAAGGAGTTCTCTCAGGCGCGCGAGGTCGTGGTGAAGCCAAGGAAGAAGAAGGCGCCGGAGCCCAAGGAGTACGATGGGGCAAGGAATGCGCCAGATTGACAACTTCTTCTGGCACATGGAGCGGTACTTCGAGTGCATGGAGATCGAGGATGATGAGGAGAAGGTGCAGACAGGCACTATGTACCTCACGGACACTGCCGCTCTATGGTGGAGGCAGCGCTTCACCGGTAGAGGCGCAAGAGCAGTTGACACATGGGAGGAGTTTAAGAGGCAGCTCAAGAGGCAGTTCTATCCCGAGTGCGTTGAGGACCTCGCCATGATCAACCTAAGGCGCCTGAAGCAGAAGGGCAGCATAAGGGAGTATGTGAAGGAGTACTCCAACTTGATGCTGGAGATCCCAGAGATGCCAGAGCGGCAACGTGTGTGCTTGTTCATTGATGGGCTGCAGTCTTGGGTGGCCATGGAACTAAGGAGGAGGGAGCCTAGAGACTTGGCATCCGCAATGGCTCTAGCGGAGCGCCTCGAAGACTTTAGGCGCGATGACAAGAGGGCCACGTCTCCCAAGAGGGACCACGGCAAAGGTGGGGGAGACCGGCGCTTCAAGAAACGGGGCTCGCCCAAGTCTAGCGATGATGAGCACAGCGATGAGGAGAGACGCCCACGCCATGATAAAGGTAAGGACCATGGAGAGAGGTCTAAGGCTAGTGGCAAAGGGGAGCGCCGCGATAAGGGCAAGTGGGAGCCGAAGTGCTACTTGTGCGAAGGGCCGCACATATTGCGACACTGCCCCAACAAGAAGACCATGAGCGCCCTTGTGAAGGATAAGGGCAAGGGCAGGGTGGACGATGCGGGCAGCGATGAAGATAGGTGCATGGGGGCTATGCAGATGCTGAGTAGCATGGCGCATGACACCAAGAAGAAGGGCAAGGCAAAGAAGGTAGCTGGGGTGCGCTATGTGGATGCGCAGGTTGGTGGCAAAGCCGTGCAAGCGTTGGTAGACACGGGTGCTACACACAACTTCATTACCCCGGAGGAGGCGCAACGACTTGGCTTAGAGATGCGCAAGACGGAGGGCTGGATCAAGGCCGTCAACTCCGAGGAGGCACGCGTGAGTAGAGTGTGCAAGGAGGTGGAGCTATGCATGCAAGGATGGAAGGGCAAGGCTGACTTCCAAGTTGCGGAGATGGACGACCACGACATGGTGCTGGGGCTGGAGTTCATGGACAGGAACAACGCCGCGCCACTACCATGCCTTGGTGCGTTGATGATACTTGGAGGCGAGGAAGGCAAGGCCGCATGCATGGTGCCGCTCGTGGGCAGGAAGGAGAGTCCAGAGGTGGCAGTCAACACGATGGAGCTCGTGAGGACTTCACATCTCCCGAAGGGCGCTCGTACGTTTGGGCCAAGGACATATGCGCAAGTGCTGATGACCTGCGAGAGGCTGGGTCAGCTGAAGAAACCGTGACGAGGGCGTCACGGAAATGGGTGGGGGAGAATGTCACGCCCCGCCTATGGAGGTTGTGCCACGCAGGCGACACGCAGACGCTGAGGAGGACGCTGCATGGCAACTGTATGGCAAGTGGAGTTTCTAGAGTCTTCCGGAATAGTCTAGAGTTATGTGGAAGTTTCTAGATATGTGTAGAAATGTGTAGAAGTGTGTGGAAGGTTCTAGAGTTCTCCAGAGTTGTGTGGAGTAGTATGGAGAATTCTAGAATGTTGTAGATACTAGTAGATAAGTATGGAAGTGTGAAGAAGGTGGGAGGAGATTCTAGATAATCAATTTCCACCGTTGGTTAGAATGCATCCTAGCCGTCCATTAGGGATGGGGATGCCTATAAATAGAGGTAGGACTTCATTTTGTAGGGAACAAGTCCTAGAGTGAGTCTTGAGAGCCTTGTAGAGAGCTTGAGTGCTAGCCTTGTACAAAGCATTCTTTGAAGTAATAGAAGTGTTCTTTCCTTGCCAACTTAAGTGCCTTAGTGTGTGTGAGTGTGCAAGCCAAGTGAGGAGAGGGCGAGGGCAACTACAACACTAGTAAGCGCACGAGGGGAGTGTGTTGGCTAAGGTGTGCACGGGAGTTAGGCTGACCAAGTACTTGCGAGAGTGAAAGCAACGTCTTGGTGCCGCACGGGAGCAGCTAAAGTGGTGCTGAAACTCTAAACCCGTGACATCAGTCCCAATAAAACCCTCGAAAACCATCTCAATTATGTAAGTTACGATCGTTCATTAATTTGTTGTTTTCCCTAATCATTGTACTAATAGTTTACTCTAAAAACTGTTGTGAACCAATCACTTCGCCCAATAAATAAATGATTAAAAAAAAAACACTAAATAATTGATCATCATCCTATTTTTCTTTTGATTTGAAATGTCCAAAGGACATTGTTTTCAGGAAAGGTGTCTTTTTAACTTTTTGACCATATGATGGCATTAGTGGAAGAATACTGCTGCTTTACTAGTATCTACAGAGAATCAAAGAACGGAGTCGCGGAGCAAATCCTGCTTCATCTTTAATTTATGACAAAAAGCTATTCCCGTTGACGACGACTCACTACTACTTTTTCCACCCATCTACTTTTTGCTTCAATTTAAGAAAGCGAGCCCATAGCTTCACAAAAGTTTCTTAATTTACACCATCTATTATTTTTATATTTTTAATATCATAATTATCCTCTTTAATTCTTTCAATTTTTTTTAACCTTACCATCTCAGGTTACACGTAGGTTGGCAATTTGTATAGACAGATCGTGGTCGTTTCAATACAACTACGACACTAATACAATTAGAATCAACACAAATATCACATTATTATTAATCATGTCAGGTGATATACACAATTATTATATGTGTAATACGACACGACACACGTAATATGTTTAATAAATGGGTCAACACTTGACACGACATGAAATGACAAAAAAAAAATACGTTTAAATCATTTTTTACACAAACATGATTCATTTATTATACACGTTTAGCTAAAGAGATTATATTTTATATGAATACAGCGCGTTTAATTAATCGTATTAATAGAGTTAAATACGAATACGATACGTTTAGTTAAATTTAAACCCTCTTATCCCGTGTCATGTCAAATATTGCCGCCACCCCTATGTATTTCCCTCTCTCGAACTCTTTTAGAATTTCAACTTTATTTTTACCTTTCTTAGAATTTCAATTTATCAACTTTTTCTCTCAACGTTCCCAAATTAAAATTTGACAAATTTTTTTTTTTTTTTAACCTTTTTATAATTCAATTTATCAACGTTTGATATTTTTATTTTTTAAGTTTAGGTGTTTGTTGTGATTGGAAAAGTGTAATTTATTTTATGTACATACTATCAATAGGTTTTTATTTTTTATTTTTTATTTATATATATATGGCCATTAATTCACAATTATAATAAGATTTCAGAGAGACAAGTTTTTCTATTTGTTTTCAACTCAAATACTTTCTATCGTAGTTGGATATATTTTTTTTAGGATACTCTCAAGTCCATGATATTGAATCCTAAATTTGTTCACTTCTATTTAATAATTTATTTTTCCTCTTTAATTTACACATGAATGATATTATTCTCAATATAGTAATACCAAAACAAATGAAAAGAGATCGGGTCCATAGTTGACAAGGAACTTGATCCCCCAAAAAAAAGGGGGCAGCTGCGGTCGAACTCACATTCTGAAAATAAGTCGGCCCCTTTTTTTCAAGTCTATCAGATAGAATATGATGTAGGGCCAACTATCGTTGCGTTGCACAAGAGGGTGCCCTTTCACTTCGAGTTCCTTCCTTCTCAAAAATCTGATGATATCCTTTGGCGATGTTACCTACCCAATAAATAAAATCTAGTTCTAAAATAATATTGATTCATCAAGAAGAAATAATATTTTCAAAATTAACTCAAGGAAAAGAAAAACCAAAAAAAAAAAAATCACCATTAGATTTGCGCAGAGAGAAAAGGAGGGGATGCAGTCTGAAAAGGAAGTTAGAAAGAATTTTTTTTTAACACCAAGAATCTTACCTTTAATAGGGGGCAATTATGATATAAAAATTGTAAAAATAAAACATTGAATGGTGTAGGGACTCTTTTATAATTTTGTCTGAAGAAAGAAGAAATTGGGGTGCCTTACGCTAATAATAAAGTGCTAATATTAACTCCTTTAGAGAGAAAAAAATAATAATAAAAAATAAAAAATTAGTATTAATAATCTCTCATCATCATTAGATAATGCCCAAAGAAACAATTTCAAATTTATTTTTATTTTTAGATTATTTGGTCTGGTAAATTGAATTCGCAAAATGTACTAAATGATGTAATTAGGAACCTGTAAATTCCTAATCATCTTGGGAGAGCAACTTACTTTTCCATGCGGGCATGGGAGAGCAACTGACTTTTCCAGGCACCTACTATACAAGTGTTCTGTTTAATGAAAATTTCTTTAACAGGAAATTGATAAATTTTTATTATTATTTCTGTAACTTCCATAACATTATAATAGAGTTAGGCATAATATAATCCTTCAATATACATTTTTTTTTTTTTTTTTTTTTTTTTTGTAAAAAAAGAAAAAAAATCATTTAATATGCTTAAATATCAATTAAACTATGTTTAACTTGCATGAATTGAAAGTTTGGATTTTAAAATCGGTAGAATTGGAATCAGAAAAAAGTAACTCAAAAACCAATTCCAATACTTCATGCTGTCAAACATAGAATGCAAATTCTCATCCCTTTACTTAGGATTAACATAAAGTAAAAGTAACCTTGAAAAAAAAAAAAAAAAAAAAAAAATTGAGCAAAATAACTTTAAATTTAACTAAACCGAAAATCATTTTAACTACTACTTTTAATGATGTTTTTTAAGAAAATAATTAAACCAAACAAGTCCTTAATTTGCTTGCGATTAACAATACTACGAGAGAAATGATAACATGTATACGCACACATCCTAGATCTACCGTCAATTCCCCAACTGCTGTGTATCACGGTCGGTGGAGCGGTTAGTCATCATCTTCTTGAATTCATCAAAGTTGACGTTACCATCGCCGTCGGAATCGACGGCCTTGATCATTCGGGAACAATCATTAACCGTGCACTTCTCTCCCAACTTATGCATAACACCCTGCAACTCGGATGGGGAGATCAGACCGTTCTTGTCCTGATCGAAGATCTCAAACGCTCCCCTGATCTGTCCGACCCCACCATCGTCGTCGTCGCCGCCGCCGCCGTCCGCGGCGGAACCTCCCTTTAAGAAAGCAGCGAACTCTTCGAGGTTGATGAAACCGTCTTGGTCAGCGTCGATCTCCTCCATCGCGCTGCTCACCTCCTCCATGGAGGCTTTCGATCCGAGCGCCTTCATCACGTCGGCAAACTCCGTCGCCGAGATCTTGCCGTCGCCATTGGCGTCGAACTTTTCGAACACTTTCTTCACTTCTTCCATGTTCTGTAGTAACAGAGTAGTACTGGGACTGGGACTGGGACTGGGACTGGGACTGGGATTAGGGTTAGGGTTTGTTGCCATTGCTCTGTTCTCAAATCAACTTATCGTTTGTTTGCGGAGAGGGGAAGATTCTGTGTGATTATATAGCGGTGGAGCGAGGCGCACCGCCACAGAAACTTCTGTTTAGAAAGAGAGATTGGTGTAGATTTAGAGAGAGAAACAACCGAGTGATTTTGCACGCCAAATGTCAATCATCTGCAATAATAAGAATTTTGGTCTCTTAAGAGTCAATACCATAAATAGATTATGCTCTTTTTTGCGCTTTAAAAACAATTAACCAACATTTGAATTTTCTGCAATTGCTGGATTTACAGGGCGCCTGAATTCACCATTGCACTCTATGTATTTATTTATTTATTATTATTATTTTAAATAATAAGAAGATCTTAAAATTATTAATACATCATCCTTTCATTTATAATGTTATCATTATTTTTTATACAATTTTAATATTTTTTTATCTTTTTTTTTTTTTTTTTTTATCTTATCAAAAGAGATAATTTATTCAATAAAGATATTTTTTTTAATCCTCTTCTTTTTGTTTGTTTTTTATTTTTAAATTGACAAAAGCCATAATTTCTTCAATAAATATATATTTTTTTGAAGTTTTTTTCCATGTCCAAAGGGATAATTTTTGTAATGGTTACTTTTTTATTTTTTTATCCAGTAAAGTGTAATTTATTCAACATAAATTATTATTATATATTTTTTTTAGTTTTATCAAAAGAGACCTAAAATATTAAAGATTAGAGATAAGGAGATGAAATTTAAAAGGACAGTTGTATCATTTAAAAATTAATAATTATTTACTTATAAAGTTATAGTTAGAATTGTCATTTTATTTAAGAATAAACAAACATTGAAAAGTAGAGCGTGACTATGGACTCTCTTATTTTAAATAATTAATTATTTAAAAAGGACTTATTCAAATAGCTGTCAAGTATTAGAAGGGTCATAAATTTAACTTTTAAAATTTTCTATTAGATAAATATTCACTCACACAACCATAAGTTTGCTATATTCTAGATATATATATTTTTTAATTATAAAACAAATTTACACACGCATTTTTGTGACTAAAGTTTGAACCTCTTACCTCTTCTTGGGAGGCCATATTTGTACCAACTAGATACTTTAGCATTTTAGCGTGTTACACATTTACATGTCAAATTCATAATCATAAAGAAAAAGAGAAAAAGTTGTCGGAGAAGTGACAATTAAAATGTCATTTTAGGTTAGTTTTGATTCTTGAACATGAATTAGGTTAGGCAAAACATTAAATATATGATCAATTTTGAAAATAAGATTTTATTCGAAAGACTAGGTTAAAAATCATTCTTTCAATGATCTTATTGATGTGCCGAAAATACATGAAAGTAAAATTCATCATTCTAAGGATTCCACGAAAGAAAAACTTATTTTTAAGAAGCCAAAAGGCTTAAATATCTTTTAAATTTGACCCAAAAAAAAAAAAAAAACACTTGCTTCTATTACTTCAAGAGGAGCTTAAGATGACAAGGAACAACCCTCTAGCCATAGCTAGAGCCTCGTAGCAAACTGCGAAGACAAAGTAAGAAAATAATAAGTCAGAGACTTATTTGACTAACTATTTATTAAACTTAACTTAAGGAACGTACTAACAAACTTAGAAACTCATCAAAAAAATTTGAAACCTAAGTCAAATAGAGAGAGAGTTGGAGTAAAAACAAATTTAAGAGTAAAAGCGTGAAAGTAACATAATTTAAATTGAATAAAGTAAAAATAAGAACACGCACAAAACTTGACAGTTGATACACACTAAAAAGAATTGTATGATTTAAACAAGGAGCATCTAGATAAATAAGAAACCCAAACTACATCAACTTCTATGATTAGATTTTTCACCCACCAAAATTATCTTTTACCAAAATGGCCATAACTCCTTTTAGACATGTCCAAGTTGCACACCATTTATTGTATTAAAAAGTAGACTCGTAGTACTTTCCAACCATCTATAGCTAAGCTTTTAATTCTTCTCCACCTGTAACAGCAGGAAAAGCTTCAAAGTTGGGCAAAAAATCTATTCTGCACATTGTTTAAAAACATAGGCCAAGTAAAATTGAATTGGTAGGACTTTGGCAAAGGGTCGCTCAAACGTCAGTTTTCCTCATTTACTTTACTTTTAATTCTCAAACAAAATACATATCAAGTTCTCTCTTCTTTCCTTTTCATTTCACTTCTTTCCTCCCTCTTAATTGTATTCCTTCAATCCAAACATAATGTTACAGCATTTCCAATTTCAAACTATTTTTTAGTGATGTGCACGAATCGAATCGATTCAGTTCGAATTAAGAGTTAATAGTAATTTAATTCAATCTGAACAGACCGGTGAAATCTAAAACCGAACTATCCAAAACATATTTGAGAGCATGCTTTGAAAGTGCTTTTTCCTTTGGGTGCATATCATTGGAAATATATGTATATGTGTGTGTGTGTGTGTGAAAGCATCCATCACAATTCACATGGTTAGGGATGGGATTAAAACATTTTCCAGATTTAAATAATAATAACAATTAAAGTTCAGATTCTCCGAATATGTGATCCAGTTTGCCAATCTTTTTACATGTGGGTAGGCGGCAAATCACCAACAAAGGACGGAAGTAGAAAGAGGACATGGTTTCTTTCTCTATGCAAATTCTTATACAGTACCTTCCCAAAAAAAAAAAAGAAAAATTTCTTATACGGTACTAGATTGCACCCTCAATTATTGTCTGTACAAAATCGTTTAAGAATGAATGATATAGACATATTTAAATATGATCTCCCACTTCAAAAAAAAAAAAAAAAAAAGGTCAAATCATTCTCTCTTTTAGAAAACTAATTTTTATTTTAAAATTTCAAATGACTTGCAATGACACTACCACACTTTTGTGGATGGAATAGTTCATGACAAAATCAAGTGCCATTGCCCTCATAATTTCTACAGTATATTTTGTTTCAAATTTTTATTGGCAGTTCTTGACCCCACCGAAAATTTTAAAAATTATAATTTTATTTATAAAATCTTAGATAATTTTATAAATGCCCCCCTAACTTTTATCTTTTCCCTCCCTTAATCTTATGTTGTTTAAAATTACCCCCAACAAAATTAAATTTCTGAATCTGTCATTGAGTTCATGAATAATAAAAGATACATTACACATGGGAGATGACTCATCAAATTGTGAATCTTGACCCAACAAATGGCAAGAAATTGGTAATTGAATCTTGTTTTTGACTCAAAACAATGAGGCAACTTATTTGAGAGTAACGCTACCAATACAATACCGATAAATATTTTGGAAACTCTAAAAACTGATATTAAACTAGGATTCTTGTTGGTAGTCGATGAGAATATAATGATTCTAATTAAACTAGGATTCTTATTGGTATTCCATGAGAATAAATTCAATGCTTATTATATCAGTTCATAACAAAAATGGATTGACAATTTTTTTTCTTTTTTCTTATTTGATCATATAACAGCACTAACTAATTTGGGGAACAAACAACCGCGAAAATGGACAACAGGGACGGATTTCTCCTTTCTCTTGTATACTTTTATGTTTTTTTATATATGTAATTTATTAATTTACCTTATCCCAAAAAATCAATCTCTATATATATATACTTGGTATAATATTCAACTGTGTCTCTCTTTATATGTATACTACATAAACACTAATTTATATGTATATAAATATATATATATATGTATATACTATTATGTAAATATGTATTACAATGTCCCCCTTAAAAAAAAAAAAAAAATTATTCCAATTTTAGAATTCGCCGACTTAACTTTTGAGCCTGCATTAGGTTTGCGAATTCGAACTATTTCATTCACCTACCCCCACGATCAAGTATGTGTATAACCTATTTACTAGCACGTGTCTCAATCATGCATGCGTATATGAGCCTAGCCACGTCTTGAACAGGTCCTTTAACAGGTAAAAGTGGTAAAAACAAATTAACCATTTGGCTACTATTCATTTTGACATTAATGTTGTGTTTGGTGTGTAAGAATGAAATGAATGAAATGGAACGTAAGTAGGAATGGAATGAAAATAAGAAAGGAATTGAATGATAATTCTTATTCTATTGTTTAGATATAAATATGAAAGGTGTAGTAATAGAACGATACTAACCATTAAATTAGTAATATTCTAGTGTTTGGTTTAACCAATTTAAAAATTAGAATAAAATAAATTTTAAATTGAATTCTTCAAAATATCCCTCATAGTAACAAATTAAATTAACAAAATGACATGAGGAGAGAGTGGTGTAAGTGGCGGTGGCGGTGGAAGGAGGTGGTGGTGGTCGTCGTGGAATATGGTGGTGATGGTGAAAGGCGGCAGCGCTGTTGGAAGGCAGTGGCGGCGGGCATGGTTGAAGGTGGTGAAAGGCGGTGGTGGTGGTGAAAGGTAGCGGTGGTGGTGGAAGGTGGTGGAAAGCAATAGCGGTGGCGACAGCGAAAGTGGTGGAAGGTGGTAGCGGTGGTGAAAGGGCGGTGGCGGTGATGGTGGTGGCTTTGGTGAAAGGCGTTGGTGGTGGAAGGTGATGCAGGTGGTGAAAAGCGGTGGCGATGGTTGCAGCAAAAAAATGTGGTGTCAGTGGTGGAAGGCGGTGGTAGTGGTGGTGGTGGTGGTGAAAGGCGGAGATAGTTGTGGTGGAAGGTAGTGAAAATTATCATTCTATTGGAATGAAAATCCATTCCACAACTAAATATATAGAATGGCTATTCCATTCCCAAGTAAATTAAAAAAAAAAAAAATCAATTTCCTAAAAAATTCTCATGTTCTAAGTCCAAAAATCACCACTACCTTCCACTACAACTAACTCCGCCTTTCACTACCACTACCACCACTACCACCGCCTTCCACCACCACCACCACCACCACTACCACCGCCTTCCACCACTGACACCACCTTTTTTTGCTGCAACCATCGTTGCCGCTTTTCACCACCTTCCACCACCAACGCCTTTCACCAAAGCCACCACCATCACCGCCACCGCCCTTTCACCACCGCTTCCACCTTCCACCACTTTCACTGTCGCCACCGCTATTGCTTTCCACCACCTTCCACCACCACCGCCGCCTTCAACCATGGCCACCGCCACTGCCTTCCAACAGCGCTACCGCCTTCCACCACCTTCCATTACCACCACTACCACCGCCTTCAACCATG